GCCAGGGCACAGTAATGCAAAGCAGACGCTGAGAGGCTGCAGCAACACAGATGTACAGAGGCAGCAAACTGAGCAGTGTGTAAGAAAATGAGCAGGTGAGGTGCAACCAAGACATTTTGTCTTTAATTCATGGGCCTAAGTGAGAAAAGGGAGTTGAATTCTCGAACAACTTGAAGCACACGATTAAAAATTGTAACTCATCAGAGGTCATGTGCTTTGTCTGGTTTTACCCTAAAGCCAGCGGATGTTTTGCCTAAAATAGGATCAGACTTTTCACTGCATTTCTTGTACAAAAGCATGTTCTCTTGTCTACACTTGGGCTTGAAAATACCAAAGAGAGTTTATATCTTTTTATATAACACTATTCGTGTTCTTGCATCCATAACAGAACTACCATTTTAAGATAGAGATGCTAAGAGCAGATTCTAATTTGCTTTAAGAAATAGTCCTCAAAGCAAAAAATTGGGTTTCACAGATCATCAGTGATCTAGTTGTTGTGCTTGTGATGACACACAACAAACGTATGCCATTTCAAGTTCAAGCTAATTTATCATAATTCTGTGTAGTGTTATGGAAATTACACATGCCAGCCACCATAACAGGGTGCAATGTGAGGTTTCCACTGAATAAGTAAGTTGAAAGTAGTTTTTATCAATATCACATCCTCTTAGATCGGTTTCAGCTGTTATTTTGTTGGAATCTGGTTGCTACAGATCATAAACCACAGATCTATAGGTTCTGTCTTGCTATTACTAATGTTAAAGCCGCCAGCTTCAAGTTTCGACTAACTTTGTCTGCAACAGATGATAGATTGCAAATTCTTTTTAGGTTCACTTGAGTAAATATGTAGCTGCAGAGCTCCCTCTAGCAGAGTTCAGTCATTTTATCCAGCTTTTTTTCTGAAGTGGTTCCATAACTGCTTTTCTCTCTGTTTTCTTCGAATACATTGCTTTGTATAGATACTTTTTTCAGAAGCTAAGGTTAGATATTCTGTGAATCAATGATATTTTGCAAAAGATGCAGGAGTATTATTTTCATGACAGACATAAGAGATGAGAAAAACCATTCTTATCCGGAAAAGATTCCTGAAAAGAGCATTGAAGTATGCAGTCACCTGTGAACATTTTGCGTGTGCTTAAAAGAGATGATGACAGCTATGTTACCATCAAAAAAGACAGATCATTCTTTTTCACTGTGTATAAAACTTTGTTTTTCTTAAGAATTTTGTAATTGGTAAATTGGGAAGGTATCAGGTAAAGAAAAGTGAGTTCAGCATTTTCATGAAAGTTGTTTTTATAGAAAATTGATTTAATTGAATTTTTATTTTTTACTAAGTTGAAAATGTATCTGTCTTACCATGAAACTTGACTGCAACACTGATGGCATTTGCTTTTTTAATAAAAGGGTTTTTTTACTTATCTTCCCTATACATATGCACTTTATAATCAGTATTGATTAAAACACATTTGATATGATACAATGTATTTTCTTACAATCACCATTTGCTTGCTGCTTTATTTATTTTTCTAAATTCAATAAATTAAATATATTTCTAACAAAATCTTCTACTGAATGTGTAGGAATAAATCCAGCAAAAATTAACTGGGTGATAAAAGTTAACATGATGACTTTCAACCAATGTCACCCTGAAGCTTTGAGGAACAGAAACTGAGCAATATCATTAATAGATGACTGTCTCCACTGAATTATTAAAACACTTGTATTTGAATACTCAGTAAAACAGAAAGGAGATAATATTTTTCCAAGTTCAAGCCCCAAGACACCTAGAGCATTAATATCTGCTGCTGATCTACTATGAGTGACATATCTGTCTAAAACTGATGCCAGCAATTATTAAATTATATGAATTACTGGAGGATAGTAAGACTCAATGCAACCTACTGATAGATGTTATGAATTTTAAATTAATAATTTGAAAGAAAAAAGTGAGACTAATTTTCTTCTTCAAAGAGAAACTTTCCTTCAGAACAGAGCACGCAGATGTTTGACATAGTGACCTAAATGCCTTAAAATAGTATGTCTTTTGCAAAGCTCTGTAGGTTACTAAAGCAGGAGCGAAACTTCAGCATACCTCAGTTGGTATGCCACAGAGTCACGGGAGGAACTCTGCAGTATTCATAACCATTACATGGAAAAGGTTGCCTCTCTTTTTCGTTTTCTTTATTTCCCTTTTTTCTTTTTTTGTTTTTTTTTTTTTTTTTTTGGTCTCCTTGTTCATTCTTCAGTTTTCCCTGTATTTATGAATCACGTCTTAACAGAAGAGTCACTTGATTTTGTGTACTGCCATGTATTTAAGAAAAGAAAAAGAGTAAGTAGGGAAAAACTGCAATGTATTAAGATGGGCAAGATGACACTCCGCCGCCAGACATAACTGAACTGCACACTTGTTTTTATTCAACAAATGCAGCTCATCTTTGTTGTACTGAGGACTGAACACCTTACTGCAGTACGTTCTGCAGTGCCTAAAAGCAGAAGATTTTGCCTTCTAATTATTGCCCTTTTCTGAATGAAGCAGTGGTCCTTCTCACCAGCTTCTTCATAGGTCAAAAGGGAGAAGAGGAGGAACAAGTTGCTCATTTGGTACATTTCCACTGCTTAGGTGGCCATTTCATAGGTCAGGAAGGACAGTTAGAGGAAGAGCTTGCTTATTTGGCCATTTTCCACATAATTTCTTGCAATTAAACCATATCCCTCTTTGCTTTTTTGGTGAGCCTTTCTCTCTTTTTCTCTAGAAGTCACGCTAAAAGAGGATATATATGTGGTCCTCCTAGCATGTAAAACCACACATGTTTCTTAAGCCAGTCTAACATTCATGACCTCAGGCAGAAAAGGAATCAAAATTGATCTACTTTTTCATAAATATCCAGTGGAGAGTAGACAACAACAATTATGCTTTTATACAGACTGTGAAATATAAGCGATAGCCATCATGATGCATATGTAATATAAACAACGGTATTCACCTTCCTTCTCAGGACTAAGATAAGCCTGGATGCAGGTTTCTGGGCTCAGGTTTCTTCTGAACAACCAATGGTTTAAAGCTGAATTTAAGATTTTGATTAAATGGGAAGGGTCCCACCTGTGTAAGTTTTTGCCTTCACAGCCCCCACAGTTGTACCTGTAGTAATAAGGGGCTCTTTGTTCTAGAACACCTGGGTACAAAGAAGGTAGCCATTTAAGCGGGCAAGGGACCCCACTCCTCGATTTAATCTGTGATAACTTGTATTTGGTACCTCGCAGGTTGTATTTTAAAGCCTCCATCTCTCCACCCACACCCAGGTTTTTTCATTGTTTTTCAGAAACTATTTCTTTGGCTCCTTTTTGCATCTGAAATACTTTTCCAGAAGAGATGTCTTTATTTCCAAAGATCAAAGGAAGACTTTCTCCTAATATGTGCAGACTGATGAATGAGGGGATAAGTAACTGCAGTACAAAGAAATCTTGCTACACTGAGAAGGAAGCTGGAGGTGCTGCTTTGGCACCGATGTGCAAATACCAAACACAGGTTTTCTGAAGCAAAAAAACTCCAACATTTTCTGATCTATATTCTTCAAATAGTTACCTTTCCTGGGTAACTGCAAGGTGCTAAAATATATTCCAGTTTTTTGTTTGTTTGTTTGTTTTTTAAGTAACAAAGTCCAGATAGGCTTTGTATTTTAATTTAAAGTGTATTTTCCATTTAAAATCATCTTCTGAGTATATTTACGAAAAACTTAGTTCATACAAAACGTTAAGCCACTTTCATTATCTCTGAAAAACTGTCCTGCTGACACTCACCTTGTTAAATCAGCCATCTCTATTGATATGCATCTAGACCCTGCTCTTCCCCTTTCCTTCACACCAAAATTAAGGTCAAAGATGGGAGAGGAAAAGTGCAGATGATCTTACTTGTTTATAAAATTACTGAATTTACAACATCTTATCTTACCTAATAAATGCCAAAATAACAGGATCTTCTATCTAGGACACCAGCTTGTTATGTAGCTTTCAACAGATCACTAGATTGTGTCTATTTGCGCTTTTTTCACCAAAAAAATTAAGATAAAAATATGCTTTTCTAGGCACGCGAGTAATTTTAAACTGAAAAAGGCTATGGTAGTAGGACCTTTAATTCCTTTAAGTGGATTTGTAGAAAGCAATAACTTTGGCATCCTATTGGAGATATTTCTACTGATAGGAAAATTCGTCCATGTATTCTCTATTATGAGAACAATTGCTATTCTTTTCTTGGATAGCCATTTCTTTGGGTTTTTTAGTGATCTATTCATCTGTCCCAGGTGTCATACAGTAGTACTTAATTTGAGTGCATAGAAACCTCTTTCCTTCATATTGGACATGAATGAGGCTTACACAGCTATCTAGGCATGGAGGTAAAATCCTTGGTCTACAAGTTTTTGCACTGACAGAAAATGCAGGAGCAATCCTGAACACCAGATTTACATCAGCTGGTTCGGAAAAAGTATTTATAAGTAATCCCAAAGTTTTCTGGCAACACATCAAAGTGTTTTATTGGATAACTGAGCATTTTACATAGTAATGATACACAGCATTTTTAATCTTCAGGGAGCTCTGCAAAGCAAAACTAATGTCTCCTCCACAATGGAGATCTTTGAGCTCTCTGTTGACTGACACTTCCTGGTTTTGGCCAGGAACATCATCACCGTTCTGTGGCTTGCCAATTTATTCATTTCCACTGCCTGACCTCACTTAAATACAGCAACATTTGTGCTTTTATTCTTATCTGTCTCAGCATAATGGGGGGGGGGGCTGAGAGGGGCAGAGATTAATTACTGAGAAGCAAAACTCAGAACATCTCATACGATGGCAGTAATTTTTTTCCACCTCTGTTCAAGCAAAAGACTTCTAGAGAGTGGCTTGGAAACCCTTTAGCCATGTGTTCTTGGCTCTTTGCCTGCTTAACAGAGGTCTTGCACAACGTGTGTTTTATGTGCTGTCACCTTGATTTCTCTATATTTTAGCTGGTCTCCTGGTGCCACTGTTTGCCATTGGCCTGCCTTCAAAGCGAGTGCCTGTGGACGGTCCTCACACGGTATGTAACATACCGTGTGCTTTGACAACTCATGTGGTCTTAATGGGTTTCCCAGTTACAGAGGCTAAAAGAGCAAGGCAGCCTGTTCTACCACACAGCAGTTCTTATGAATAAATCCTTTGGATAGGAGAAAATAAATCATTTCTACAATGTTTGCTTTTTATCTGGTGGCTATAACGAAGCCTTTCTCTCCTGCGGCAAGGGAAAGTGCAAATAGGACACTGGCAATGTCATTTAAATGAATAATGACTGGGAGACTAGTTAATCTCATTTCTCTAAGGCTTCATGATATCTTCAGTGCTTGCAGATAGGTAACAACCTGAGGATGGATGTCTAGAAATAAGTGATTATCTTTGTTTAGCTATGCTACAGAATGCTCTCTTTAAATCTACACAGAAAGAAAGATATGTTTCAGTAAGCAATGTTATTTATTTGCCTTACCTTACAAAACAGAAAGGAAATGACCTTCCAACATGGACTGCTTCCTTTGATTTAAAGCTTTTGAAGTGGTATCTTATTATCTTCTCTTTATCCTCTCTTGTTTTACTTGACTTCATTTCCTTGATTAGTTTTCAATCACCTCTACACTGGCTTCTCCTGGATCCATTTTCCTGCCTGTCATCTTCTTAGTCTCAGGGTGAGTTAATAATGTAATAGACATATTACTACATAATAAAAATAATAATGCATCTATACTGATAATATGAAGGCAGTTTAAGTGCCTAACTCTCTAGAACTCATTCACTTTTTAAAATATCTCTTGGAGACATATTTCAAGTCACACAACATTTGCCTGCATTGCCTCTCATATTGTCATTCCCAGTCCTGTATTCTTCAGATTTATTTTTGAGTTTATAGGCTTCTAAGCTATACTGATTCTGTGACTGAGAAACAAAATACAGTTTTTGTTTTTTTTTTACTGAAGATAAAATGCTGTAAATGGGTTATGATGGTAATACCACTCAGCATTTAAACTGTGTATGTAAGTAATGAAGAGTATTTTGAACTCACTCTATAATTCTTGACTTGATTGGCCCACTTCTCTGCATAAAACTAGAATAAATTCTGAAACAGACTGGCTGACTGGTAGGCCTGGAATAAATATGGCTTATAGAATCTTTTAAACTTACTAGTTTAAACATAGCAGACATCTACCTAACATTTACTTATAAACTACTGCAGTTGCAAATAATTTTGGGTTTATCATAAATGCTAAGTTTTTTACCCAGTTCCAGGTGTTTGCAGTTCCTACCAAAAATTTTCTTCTATTCCTGCCTGCTATCCCTACACCCTAGGAAGGCAATAGTTATACACTGATGTCAACAGTAAATTGGATATGTTGTCCAGTACAGGCAGAGTTTTATAAAGATTGAGACAAGATTTCAATAGCACTTAACAAATCAGTAACTTTAAACTTATACATATCAATCCCAAAAGCTTTACTCTTTTAAATTCAGATGTAAACCATGGAAGAGTAGGAACCTTATTTCTCACTGATTCAAAATTTCTTAAAACCTAGTGTCTTTCTCTGCTCTACCTTTTGAATCACAAAGTTTTGAAACTGCAAAGCACAAAAGCCTAAACGGTAGGCTAACTATTGTTTCCAATTTTTTTTTTATATGACATTTTTCTATCATCCTTCCACCTAATCCTTCAAAGCAAGTAATTTCTTTCAGAAACAAAGCAAGTACTTTTTGCTGTCAATGGAAATAACTGTTATCAGAGATTCACAATGCCACACAAGGTCTGGAATTGTTATTTTTGTCTTTCCTCTGGTTAGAGATAGAAGTTCATAGATAGAACTCTGCATTTTTATGAATGTTTACATCTTCACAGTTTTCAGCTAACTCTCAAAATGCAAATCAAGCTGTTCTTTGCCATCTTCTTAATCAGGAAAAAAGACAGAAGGACGCTTTTTTCATGTTCTTGAAAACCAAGCAAATGTGGTTTCTTATTTAGTTGCTTGAATTTGATGAGAAGCTCAGAATTTTGATGGATATGCCTTTGTATTGAAGAAATCGAGCAGAGCTTTGAATCAAGCTTTGAAATCTTCATTGTACAAAAGAAATCTTACTTGGTCCCTCCTTGGTCACAATGGGCAAAGATTTAAAGTTGGGTGATGGAATCTGTGTTCATGGTTTTAAGACCTTATTATGTTTCTTCTCATGTTGATTTAACTTTCTATTTATGTTCAAAGATTAGAGAGCTAATTTCTGCCTCTGAGCAGCTTTTCTTGTCTTTTTAGTGTTTCAGAAATGATTGGACTTGGTACTTAGGGCCATGGTCTAATTGACAAGGTGGTGATCAGTCAAAAATTGGACTCAATGATCTCAGAGGTCTTTTTCAACCTAAATGATTCTGTGATTTTTGGAAATCAGCAATTTTTTTTTTCTTCATCAGATGATTTGCAGGTATCAAATTTGAAGTCTTGCTCTTTTAAGGTGTTCTGAAAATGGGAACAATTTGCTGATCACTTTGGATTAGCCTTTTTCCCATAACTGATCAGGTGATTTCTCTTCTTGTTAGATGATTCAGTTTAGAAATCTGAGGAAGCTCCTCTCTGAGCGAGGCTTTAGCCTGGGAGGTTGTGTGGAACTCAGATTCACACAGAGTGCTTTGCTGTCTTGTAAGCAGCTTCAACTTGAGTAGAATATTCTGCCACCTTCCTTGTACAGGTCGAGTTTTCTGTCAAAATGTCAACAACTGCCAAGCATAATTTTTTTTCTGAAAAAGAGAAATTACCAAAATAAAAGGATATAATAAAAGAGTTGTGAAAGCCTATTCTACTTAAGCTGTGACTTGGCCACGCATTCTACCTAAGAAGTGTGTTGAAAATATATTTTTAGCTATCTATGCCATTCACAAATATCTTGATCAATTTCACAGTATGACTTTGAGGAGTAACTCACATGGCAACAACTGTGACCTGTGACCTAAACAACTGTTTAGGTATTTCACTGAATAACCTAAACTCAACAGGATCACAGGAATTAGTGGTGTGGCATAATAATATTGAGTTCCTATGGGCTTAGCTTTGCACTTTTAAAGTTGATGATGCACTTCAACCAGTGGAGGTGTTAAGCCCACAACAGTTTGACACATACTGTACTCCACAGGTCATCTGATTGTACTGTGGAGTTCAGATGTAAATGTAAGATTTGCTCTGAAGCAAGACCTGGAAAAGAGAAGTTGTTTGAAGTGGTCCTATATATATACCTTTTAAATAAACCCTTCGTTTTGAGCATGTAAATAACAGTATAGAATTACAGACTAAACATTCAGAGTCTGTGAGCTAACAGACAGTGGAAATTCACTGTTCAGCGGAAGGGTTAGGGAACACAACATTTTCTAAAATGGGATAAAACTCTTTTCATTCATGCGTAGGTAGAGAAAATTTCCACTGGTCCAAATATATCTTGAGCATCAAAAAATATTTACTTTAATCTGCTTTTAAACAAGTTTCTTTATACTGCAATAACATTTGCAAAGCACCCTAGACACAGGAAGATGTGAAGTTCTGTTTCTAATCTCAGTAGTCATAGGATATGTGGCCTTAAGGTAGTAAGCCCCATTCAAAGCAGAATAGATTTTTTTTCAATTAATATAGCATATTTGGTTAAGGTTTAAAAATTTGTAACAAATCTGAAACTTTTTAAAAAACAATCAATGGTATAATCAATATTTTTACATAAAGCATATGCAAAAATAATTAATAACTTTATCCCTATGAAGAGGTTTAAAGGTCTGGGGGGGAGGTTGATAGCAATTATTAGAGGCAATCTTGTCCATAATGTAAAGCTGAGGTAATCTTAAATCACTTTTGTATGGATAAACTGGATCGCTTTTACATGATTACTTAAAAAGAAAAAAATAAGCCAAGGAAAGTCTCTGGCTGGTGGTGTTTATACTGCTGGATGCTGACATTTTGAATTCAAAAGTATGATCTGTCCATACTTAACCCTAATCCCTAGAAAAAAAAAAATCACTGTAAACAGACAGTGAATGAAATGCAGGTGTAGGGGGAGTGGGGATTCTGCCCTTGCTTACATAAGGTAAGATAGCAACTGCAGCAGGATTTAGATAAAACTGCGGGGGGAAGGCTGTGGAAGTTGAAGAGTAATACTGATGTCTTCGAAGGATGGCTTGAAACATCTGTGGTTTGCTATCAGTGATCATGAAGGGTCTTGGCAAAGTGAAGAAATGAAGGTGGCCCCAGCCTGCAGTGGAGCCTGAGAGAACCCTTGGCCTGCCAGCCCCTAAGGGACTGATGGCACAGTTCTGCAGATTTAACAGCGGGGGGACTAAAGGAGAGGAAATTGTCGAACCTCACTTTATGCAATTTTTTTTCTCTTGTCAGTGAGATAGTCTGGATCATTGACACACTTTAAAAATTAACACATTCTTTACTTAATGCATTTATGGTTCTGCATGAACCCTGAAAACGTTTTCTCCCTGAAAAACGCCAAAAGGCTCCGACCTTTCACATAGGAAGTGCAGTTTTAAGAATTTACTGGAGCAAACTTGATGTTTCTTTTCATTTAGCTCTACATAAAGTTTGAAGGTATAATTTCTTCCAAATTTACAAATGCATAGTTAACACCAGCCCATGCACAATATGTTCTTTAAAATAAAAACTATTTTGCGAAGACTTTGGACGGCTTCGTGATTAAGAGAGCGGTCAGTACACAAGCATACAATATTACTCTCTCTGCAAAATAACTGCAGGGTGAAAGCATTGTTTTGTTCCTTTAATTCTTATGCTTTTAGACATCGGCTTCCCTGCACTAGTTTCACAGTGGCAAGAGTTAGCATGTGGTGGACTGCAATATCATCTACCAGTATTAAGCTATGACCAGGTTCTTTGTTAAAACTAATGGACACCAGTAAGGGGCTCTATTTTATAGTACACTTTCTGTAAACTTAAGCACAGAGAACTTCCCCCTATATTTTAACTACTGAAACAATAAAAACAAAACATAAAATGAACTAAAGAAACTTGTTGCACCTCCATGTTGACTTAAGCTTGTCCTGTGTTCCTATGTGAGGAATTATTTGAAATACTTTTTTTTTTTTGGTTGGTAATTAAGTAAAACATACTAAAGTCTTTCTCAGTTGGCTTCTTGAAGGGTCTCTTCACCCCTTGCAGCTTGTATTGAAAAGGCCAATTCTCCTTGCCTTACTGTTAAAAGCAGTGCTTTTGTCTCTTTACTAAGTTTACACATGTTAGTAAGAGAAGCAGAATTTGGTCCAAAAAGACAAACTTCAGCAGATTGAAAACAGTTACAGTAATTCACAGTTTTAAAATAAGGAGGTACACATATCTTTTTACCTTACTGCTGCTTATTGTCCATTTATGTATTTTTGATGTAACTGTATGCACAGTAAAGATGTTCTCTATGTGTTTTTGCATGTTGTCTGCATATTCTGACTTGTTTTAACAAAAATGTAATAAGAATTTGTACCTAGTAATTGTTAGGTTATAAACTACATCTTGCAGCACCTCCAGATCAGTTGTAGGGCTGTGAAAAGGTTGCAGGATTTGGCCTATTAACTAATTCCACTGTAAATTAGTATGTATGCTCTTATTTACTTGGGAAACAAAGCTTCACTTTAAATGCATTTTAAGGTCTCCTAATTATCCGGCAAATACCAGTTCACAGTCTCTGAAAAACTCCCTTCTTCCTAATCAATTCATCTTGTTTTACGAAGTCCCTCTGATTTTGCTTAGTGTAAGTTGGCTCTGATACCAAAAAAAAAAAAAAAGACCAATGTATGACAACTTTTTTCACCCTATAAAATAAAACAACTAATCAAAAATACTGTTTGGAGGCAGATGAGAATACCCATGCAACACAGGTTTCAAGCAGCTATTGAACACAGCAGAAAGCAAAAGCCAGCTGCGTTTGGCTTCCGTGGAGTTTAAACCTGTTTCTTATTTGGAGCCGTAGCACGTGATTTTTGTTTGTTTGTATGTTTTGCTTTTCATTTTACACAACTTACTTCTAGAAAGAATTCTTGCAACCTCTTGACTTACTCTTAACGGCACAGATGGCTTTTCCTCACCACACCAGAATGCCCCACTTTCCCCTAAGGCAGAACAATCACCTTTGACACCACCAACAGTAGGTAAAGCAGCAGAAGTTACGACAAAACGCAGCTTCTAGAGGTAGGCATTTACCTGCTGCTTCTGCAGTTCATGCTGAGGTTACACGTGCAGTTTAAAGCTTTTTCGCTCGACTACTCATTCACTCCGCCGACAAGGGTCGGGGCGGAAAGTTACGCGTTTCCACGAAGAGCTGCGTGGTGGGGGCAAAAGGAGCTTGGACTCAAATTACACGAAACCAGGCTAAAGCGGCCAATCTCCGAATTTCAGGCGAAGGCTCCGCTGAGCTCCCTCCTGGAGACGGGGACGAGGGGAGCCTTTCCTGCCGCCGGGGCGCACGCTGCGGGCAGGGCCGGGCCGGGCGGGGTGCGAAGAGCCGTCGGTGCGGGCCGGGGGGCCGCGCCAAACACACGCGTGTGGCGGCCGGGGAGCCGCCCGCGGCCCGGCGGGGCGTGGGGAAGGAGGGAGCAGGGGCCGCGCCGGGTGCCCGCCCGGGCGGGGCGGGGCAGGGCCGGACGGGGACGGGGGCCCGGCGCGTCCCGCCCCGTGAGGGCGAGCGGCGGGCGAGGGCAGCGCGGTCGCCGCCGCCGCCGGGGCGCAGCTGCCCGCCCGCCGCTGGGCGCTGTGTGCGCGCTCGGAGCCGCGCTGCTGCCTGCCTGCCTGCCCGGACACGGACAGACGGACACGCCGACACACGCGCCCGCCGAGCGCTGCGCATCCCGCGCCGACCCCGCTCCCTCCCCTCCCTGCCTCCCTCCCGCCCCGCCGGGACGCGCCGTCCCGCAGTTTCTCCGCGGGCGCCCAGGTGGCTGCTCCCCGCCCGCCCGGCCCGGCCCGGCCCGGCACGACTCGGCACGGCCCTCCGTGTCCTTGCCAGCCGGCGTCCCGCGGGCGCGGAGCCGATGGCTCTGGGCGGGAGGATGCGCCTGAGCCGCGTCTGCTGCGTGTTCTACCAGCTGTGCGTGCTGTCAAGCGGGCTCGCCGCAGGTAAGTGCGCGCCTTCCGTGGGACGGGACGGGACGGGCCGGGCTTGGGGCGGCCTCCGCGCCCCGGCGGCTGCCGGCGGACGGTACCTGCCCATTGTTGAGAGCCGCGCCCGCCCCCTGCAACCGATGGGGGGGTCAGATATTGCGCGCCTCGGCTGCGAGGGTGCTCAGCGCTCCTCTGTACGAGACCTGGTTTCCACAGGCAGCCCTGTCATCCCTCTCGGCAGTGCCGTTCCTGGAGTGTGGGATGAATGTGTAAATAAAACTGTTTCCTGTCTCGGTCCGGTGGAGGTTGTGTGTACTCAGATGTTTATAAACATAATGCTTGTACTCTGGGAATTTTGATCATATTGTGATGTAGTGTGTACATGTAATACAAAGGCATCACTAATTAGTGGTTCTAAATCAGTTTCATTTTAACGATGGTCTTGATACAGCATGTGCATGCAACTGCCACTTGTATGTGCACTCACAAATGTGCAGCCATGGGGTGTGTGTTTATATTTGGCTGAACTTTGGAAATCATAATGGGTCTTGCAAAACATACTGAGAAAAATTTTCAAATTTACTCGGGTTTTCTCCAGCTTTTTTTTTTTTTTTTTCCTTTTTAGCTGTATGAAAAAGTTGTTACTCTGTCTAAATGATGAACAGTGTAACTTTCCTTATGTGGAGGTGGTGGTCGGGAAGCACATCCCCAGCGACTGGTACAAACGCAATTTCTCTCCTGCTTGGGTCCAGCTTTCTCTCAGTGCCAGGACTGTGGTGCGTCCCAGACGCATCAGCAGGCACAGACACATCTAGCAGCTGGTCCCCCTGCTGTGTGTAAGGACAGGATGAAAGGGGCAAGTGAAGCCCCCTGTATATTTGTGTGGTGTGCCTGGTGGACTTGGAGTGAGAAGAAGCGTGTTGGGTGGGGGGGAGCACAGGGTAGGTTTTTGGCAGGCACTGGGTGCTGCTGGGTGCTCCACTCCTTTAAAGCATCTGCTGGCTTTCCTGCAGGTCTCCATGCTTCGGAAGATACTGAGGAGTGGGAGATCGTCTTCCCGGCACTGTGGAGCCCGGGCCAGCAGGAGCCAACAGGTGGCAGTGGTGGCGGTGGGGGCTGCAACGCCGACCCCAGCAGTGGGAACCGAAGCGGCACCTTCAGCGCCCCAGTCACGCCCAGCCCGGCGGCGGGCAGCTCCCGGGAGGTGCGCTCCGTCTCCTCCTCGGTGGATGGGCAAGCGCAGGCTGTAGGGGAGGCAGCAGAGGAAGAGGACACTGAGGATGAGTATGAATCTCAGGAGTTTTACCACTGGTCCCCACTACCCCAGGGGTCTGGCGCTGCCTCTCAGTTGCCACCACCACCATCCCCTCCGCCGCCACCTCCCGCCGAGGATGGAGATGAGGTGCTGCTGAGGATCCCAGCTTTTGCTCGGGAGCTCTACCTGCTGCTCAAGAGGGACAGCCGCTTCCTGGCTCCTGGCTTTGCCGTGGAGGAGCGGCTCGGGGGTGAGGGCAAAAGTCCACCCAGTGCTACCCAGTCACAGCCCGAGAGAGCTTGTTACTACAGTGGTGCTGTCCTCCGCTACCCAGGCTCCTTCGCCTCCTTCAGTACCTGTGGTGGATTGGTAAGATGACTTTGCATGCAGGGGTAGCTCCAACATCTCTATCCAGGTGTCTGCTTCATCTGTTGCTTTTCATTCCCATCCCTTTCCTAAGGTCTTCTTTCTTTCATGTCATTGTGGGTCCTACCTCTGTACTTATCCTTATTTTAACCATTTTTCCATTCATGCTTGTACTAATCCACTCATAGCTTTTCTCAAGTCCTACTTCTGCCTTTATCCTGTACAGTTATGGTGTTATTTATCCCATTTCCAGAAACACTGTTGTTTCTCAGTCCCGTGCTTTTTTGGTTTTGGATTTCCTTATTAAGCCATTCTTTCTTAAAACTTCTCTCATCTCCATCTGTATTTTATCCTGGTCTTCAGTCTGTATCTTGGTCTGTAATTAGTTACCTCCATCCTCGCTCTTCCTTCTTTTCCCTGTATCATCATCTCTTCTCCAGTCCATCTGTAATCCATTTGTTCTTCATTCCCGTCCTGTATTCTAAAGTTATCTTTCTCATTGGTATTATCTTCCTTGTCTTCTGCATATCCGTTTTCAAAATGTTCTGTCTGTCCTACTTCTACCAGTATTTTATGTGTCCTATCTCAACTTTATTGTTCCTTTTCTTTCATCCCTCTCATCTCTTTGGCCTTTTTTTCTCTACCTCACAACTTCCCACATATGGTACTTGTAGTTACTTGGATTTGGGACGTCTTTCAGTTCTTCCATAGAAGAATGCAATGAGCATGTTCTCAGCAGAAATCTTAATACAGTCAGACCTTGGCAATGGTTATTACTTCTGTGGCATACCTACCTTACTTAAAACAAATTTCACGTGCTATTATTTATGTTGCATCAGTCATGATTTTTGCCAGATAAAGACCAGAATTGGGCACACTGACAGCAGCAGTGGTAATCCAGTGAGCTGCAATCCTAAAATACTCGGGGATGGATGGAAAGAGTAGAAAGCAACTGTGATGATGTAAAATGCTGTCAGGATTTAACCCCAAACCTATTCTTATTACTACTGCTATTCTCACTTGGGGCCTTTATGTAGGATCGTCAATGCACGCGCTTGCAGCACTTTACACAATATAGAATACAAACAGTAATGGCAAGGAAGAGTTAGCATCGTCATGATCCTGGGTTTCTTTCTGAATTTGAATATCTAACTTGTTTCACTGCTGATTCATGAAGATATGCCTGCCTGCTTTTTATTTGTATGGCCATGAAGTGAAACCAGGTAAAATGTGGAAATTTTGACTGCGTATCCATCTGCCTGTTCGAACGTATTCAAAAATCAGAACACAAACAGAAAGTAGTGGAGAGGGAACGTACGTGGATTGACACCAAATAAAATATTTGCCTGCACTCCTGCAAAGTGAAACCGCCAAGTTTCACACAACTCTAAGTGGTTGGCATCTAATTATTGACATTTTGTCAGATTTTCCAAAGCCTAGTAGCAGAATTAATTGTGGAGAAAAATATTGAAAGTCAACCGACGGTTGGTTTGAGAGCAGTCAGGTAAAAGACTTCGTGTTATGGAAAAGCATTTGACTTCTGTACTTTTTGTTATTTTTAGAATTTTTTTACTTCCTTCTACATTCTGTTTGGGTAAAATTAAGTCAGAGAAAATCTCTGCAAAAAAGTTGTTGGAGATAATTATCACAAATGTCTGTTCAAAAGCAATGTATGTCATTGCATATCTGTAATTTTCTCTGATTTGTTATATAAATTGAAATTTACTGTTCAAATAGACCACAGTTTCTAAAGAGTCCCATTAATAGTTTTTGACTCGGTTAGACTTTACAAGGAGTACCAGGTTGCTCCAACCATCAAACCATGCGTGTGCCCAGATCTCTTTCTGTTTTTCTGGATGGGTAATCCAGAAAACTGCAGCTGGAACATAAAGTATTCTGTGTATCTCAAATAAAACTGGGAACTGTTTTTGATGTTGACTGGTGTTGTCATGACCCTCAACTGCATAGTCTTGTTTGTGGTGAAATAGTTAAGCAGCTGTTCTTCCTGAGAGTGTTGCTGCGTCAGGCACAGTTAAAAAAATTGCACAGTGCTATTATGTCAAAGTTGTCATAACAAAGCCTAAGCTATTTGTCATTCTTTATTCAGTCATTGCTTGGGCTCTATTACATACGTAAGTTGCTGAGTTTCCAAGAGTATTGAAAAAACATCATAACATGAATTGCATTTTTCACCCTGTTTCATCTAGGCCTTGTCCTGCAAATAGAGCCAAGCAGTAGTTCAAACTACATTTTCTTTTTTAAGATGTAAAAATTCATTGAAACTTGAACCCATGAGTATTGTAGTTGCCTCAATTAGAATTTATTTTTTCATTTTAAATATAAAGACATTTCAGAGAAAATAAGTTATGAATGTCTTAGATGTGCTCTCACATCAAAGCCTTGCAGACTTTGGGTTAGAATTACTAAGCTGCATACACTTTGGAAAGTCAAGCAAGTGGGCTAAAATGCAGCTTAGATTCCACAGTTCTGCTCTTTAGAGATTAGCCTTTTAGTGAACCTCTTTACCAAGAAAATTAAGGGTAGTCTGACAGACAACAGAGATTTTGCCACACAGGAGGAAGTGTGAAGAAGTATAGTAGTTTGGCCATCAAGTGCAGTGGAGGGTCATGCTTGGCAGTAAGGATATATGGCTGTTGCTGTAGGGCTAGTTTTGTGAAAAACTGCTGCATCTTCAATAAATGAAAAAAGGGCCTTGGGTGAAATTGTTGTCCCAGGATGCTGGTGTCTGTTCCAGCTTCTCAAAACACAGAGACCTGCAATGCCAGTGATAATCAGGAAACTGAAAAAAAGTGTCTGTGCAGAAGTATTCGCTGATAATTCTATACACAGAAAGAGAATGTTGTTGCAGATGTTAGGCACCTTATTCCCTTGAAGTGGGACTTAGATGCTTTTTGAATATTTCACTGGTTGCATTAGGGTAAAGCATGTAACGTATAGCACAACATTAAAGCTTCCCCATATTAATTTTGTTCTTGAGAGCTTCATTTATGTGTTTTTTCTGAAGCTGTTCATCCAAAGCCAGTATGGAGGGGTGATAATAATGGGGTTCATAACATACTGTGTAAATCATGTGAAAATACAAATGAAAAATGGAAGCTGTACTCCTGCATAATTAGTAACCATATTCTGACTTCAAACATTGTCTTCATTTGACAACTTACCTTACAAATGAAGGAAACATAACTCAATGGATATTTTTTAATGAAACTAAAAACTGGAGCTATGCATGGACTGTCTGGAAACTCCGTCATTTTGACCTTGGTGCAATCTCAGAGCTCGTGTGTTCAGTGGTGACAGCCCTATCCAACTCCTTGGTAAAAACTTGTGGATTCTTACATCTTTTTGAAGCTCAGTGGGATTTGCTCTGAGTACATTTTGGGATTCTGCACTGATGCTCTAGGAAGATTAATAAGGAGAGATTTCCAAGGGTTCTCCCATCTGTATGCTGACTGCCTCCTTGTTGTTCATGGTTAGCCAAATACCAGGATATAAACAGTCCTGATGGTGACAGTGAGACTGAATTGCAGAGCTGGACCATTAATTATTTAAATGATTGTTTCCTCTACCAGCTTGTGTTTGGATATAATATTTGAAATAAGGAAAAAAAAATCTATAAAATGTTATTGAGCAGTATTATTTGTGACTGGTAATATATATAACTGGTAATTTTTTTTATAGCGTGCTGCAGGAGAAGCTTACTGTGGACTTAAGAAATCTGACTACTGGTTTTTCATCTGTTATTAGAATGCAAGTTAAAGTAACCTCACTGCTTTTCCTAAAGAGTGCTGTAAACGTGGCAGATGTGAGCTTTATCACCTGCTCATTTCATTTCAGAAAGAAAGGTATTGTATGTAGTTTTTTCTCGGTACTGAATTGCTTTGGTAGTACTCTATGGCTGTGTACTGTCAGGCGGGGTTTTCACAATGTTTCTTTTTCTTTTAACCAAAGCAGTCTACAGTAAATAGAGAACATCTAGGTAGAGAAGCGATTTGAATGGCTTTTTATTTCTAAAGCAATGGGGTATGGCTAGAGTTTCAGGCAGTGCAAAGAGGAGCAAATGTATGCAGAGAGGATGGACAGGACAATGCAGCTCCGTCCAGTTGTGCTATTCATCTCGGCACTTAGCACATTGTCTAAAAGAACATCTCTGGAGTTCTGCCTAAAAAAGGCAGCATTGCCATTTGGCTTAATTTACCGGAGAGAAGTGTTGAAATTTGTCTGATTTTCATTGGATCTTAAAAATGTAAATCAGTCAATAGCATATTTATAGTTTTCTAAATACCCAACAAGTCAGTGTCAAATACTATTTGCAGTTGAAATTAATGTGCATTTTCATAGTCACTTGAGTAGGAACAAGTCTTGAGACAGCTCTAATCTGATCCAAGGAAAAAGTCTCTCTAGAGAAGGGTATAGTGCTTTTATTAGGCCTCATTGCCATTAAGGTAGGTATTTGAAAAGCTGATCAATAGTTTATAGACAAATACTTCACCTAAAGAGCACCGTCTGAACCAATGCTGCTTCATCAGCAAAAAAATGGAGACAGTTGTTCTGTGTCATGCAGACATGTGTCAAATATCATTGGAAAACAGCATTTCAACAAATATTTCTGATGGCAACGTCCCACTTTTATAATAGAATTAAATTTGTAAATTTATTTAAATTTAAATTAAATTAAGTTTGTAAATTAGGATGTGAAAAACCTATGTGCCGCCTTTGGCTAATGGAAAGGTTGTATAGCACTTCAGTAAGATTTGAGATTTCCTGAATCACCTCTACAGGAAATGTATGATTTTATTTACTTCTGGCACAAACTGTATTTTGAAGATTAGCGTCATTAACTGATAGTAATGGAATGACACACGATGGATTCAAAATATTTTAGATTTCTTAGGATGCTCTAAATTCACATGACCCTTCAATTAGTAATAAATAGTAATAAAATAGTTAAAAAATAATTAAAAAAATAATAGTAATAAAATCAA